ATGATCCAGCAAGTGCACTACTGGCTGTACACCCAAAGGAAATAAAATCAGTATCAAATTGATGTGTACATTCTCATGTTTACCACAACACTATTTATAATAATCAAGACAAAAAAGCTTGATATATGTAGGCTTCAAGTACCAAGGCAAAACCCCCTTGTACTATCAATATACACTTAAAAATATGAAGGATAAGCAGGGAAAATAGGTCTTTTCTGGGGTGGGTATCAGAGGGAGAGTGGTGGGCATATAGAAAGGATGAATGAGGGTGAATATAGTGGATGTAGTTTGTATCCATATATGAACATAGAAGAATGAAACCCGTTGAAATTGTTCTAAGAAGGACTAAGGGTTGAGGGAGAATGATGGAGAGGGTAGAACTAAGATATATTGCAAGCACATATGTAAATATCACAATGTGTCCTCCTGTACAATTATTATATGCTAATTAAATAAATTAGAAAAGAAAATACTAAATAAGGAAATAAGGAAAGATTATTGTAACTACCCAAGGAAAGAATGGATTAAAAAATGTGGTACATATACCCAATCAAATATGATTCATCAGTAGAAAAAAATCATTGTTATTTGTGATGGCATGGATGGAATTGGAGAACATTATGCTAGGTGAAATAAGCCAAACATAGAAGATAAATTACTGCATGCACTCATTTCTACGTGGAATCCAAAACAGTTGATCTCCTAGAGGTAGAAGTTAAAATGTTGGTTACTAAAAGCTGGGGAGAGAGGGAATGAGTAAATGATTGACAAAGAATACAGGTCCTCAGTTAGATAGGAAGTTTGTATGTTTTTTAGACCAATTGTATAGTGTGATGAATACAGCTAAGTTCTAACTGGGAGTGGTGGTGTACACCTGTAAGCTTAGCTACTCAAGAGGTGGAAGCAGAAGACTCAGGAATTTGAAGCTACCTTCAGCATAGTTAGAACCTATTTTTAAAAAAAAGTTTTATAGGGTGACTCAGGTGATAGGGCACTTGCCTACCAAGGGTGAGGCCCAGGGTTCTATTCCAAGTATCACACACACACACACACACACACACACACACACACAAGTTGAGTTTTATACATTTAAATCTTGCTATAAGAATGAATTTTAAATCTCACAAAATGTCAAATATTTAAGGTGATGATACATTGGCTTGATTTAATAATCCATATTGTATTAAAAATCATAACATCATTTTGTACTCCTTAATTATATACAACTATATAATTTTTTCACTATGCAATAAAAAAATAAAGCACATAGAAAAACCGTCAACATACACCAGGGCTGTGGAGCTGTGCTCCTGTTGATGAGTACATAGAATTTAAATGTTACAGTGTAGGTAAGCCTTTGAGCAAATAACTAGTAACTACAAAAGCATTAACTCATACAAATCTTCAGCATCACATTAAATAGAAACGTGGATCTTTTTTCCATAGAAAACCTTTAGTACACAAAAAAAAAAAATCAAAAAGAAGAATCAAGTCAAAGTAATTCAAATATTCTCAAAACAATGTTCAAAAATTATAGTAATGTTTCTACTGTAGATTATGGGCAATTATAGAGCAGGTACAAAAAGACAGACTGATGCTAACATTAAAAAGATGGAAACAATTAAAGCTAATGAAAGAAATGATAAGGAACAGTTACTCAGTGGCTGCAGAAGGATCCAAGTTCAAGGCCAGTTTGAGAAAAAAAGTTGTGAAAGCCTGTCTCAAATACAAAATGAAAAGTAAGGGTTGGGCGTAGAGTTTAAGTGATAGATTACTTGCCTGGCATGCTTGAGGCTCAGGGTTCAATCTCCCGTAACACACACACACGCACACACACACACACCCCACACACTAAAGACAAGAAAGAACCAGGAAGAGAAAGACATATTTAAGGTATCCACATTAATCGTAAGTATTTGAATCTGAAGTAATGATTAGATTTTTTGCTATGTTCTTTGAAAGAAAGTTCCATGCCCCTCACCTGCCCAAAAACCTTTATTGGCTGCGCCTGTCAGGTGTTCATGATCCTTTATAACATAGTTTCTAAATCACTCTCAATTATTCTTTTACCACAGAATTGAATTGTATGTTAATTTCTAAACACATTCTGTTTTCCAACCTCAATGCCATTGGTTAAGCCAGTTATTCCATCCAAGCCACTCTGCTCTCCACATCTGTCTGACATAATCCTACTCACTGTCATCACAATGTGTGGTATTTCAGGAATGGGGAATCACACAAACTTCATCTACCATTCTGGCTCCTGAAAAATGAGCAGAACTCTAAGCAACATCAAACCATGACCTTGTTGTGACTCCATCAAATGGTTCATATCGAAGATGGGAATTTTGAGAATGGGCATCACTATTTCTCTTCCACTAGCACTCAACCAGTTCTCTTTTAATTATGGTTGTTTATATGCATCTACTCTACCAAACAGATTTGGATAGTGCCCATTTCCTCATCATTTCAATTCTCATCTCCCTTAAATGATCAATAAAATAATGCAAACAAATAGCTATAAAATAAGATAAATTTTTTTATCATGATGTTTCCTGAAGGGCTTGGGTCAAATAATCACCATTTCATTTATCTATTCTGGTAAAGAGCAATTTATTTTAAAGAGATGTGATACATCATCATAAAATGAAATAACTGTTTACTTTCAAAAAATAATTAAGACTGTAGTCTGAAAGGTTAGAGGCATAGTTCAGTGGGAGAGCACCTGCTTAGCAAGCAAAAGGAGTTGAGTTTGATAACTACTCCAGGGTTGGGGTAGGGGTATAGATTTTAGTTTTCATTTTCATGAAAACTACACACTGGGTAATCCTGTTAGGCTTAGCTTAAAAACTTTCAGCTTTCTCTGGATACTGCAGATGTTTTCATCCTTCCCATACACTGTAATCAGTATTTGGAAGAATTTCCAGACCTGTTTGGACCTCATTTGACAAGACTGTTTTATAATATAGGAACAGTGGACAAGATGTCAGCAGACCTTGGTTTTTATTCTGGCTTTACAAGTTACAATCATAGGAATTTCTGTTTCTTTATTTGAAAAATAAGGAGTTTTGAAAACATTAGTTATTTCCAAACTGATATGAGGTATTGAGATAAAATGTTATAAACTGTGTTCAATGAGATCCTGGGTAAATGGCATGGGGTGGGGAGCATCAAGTCCAAGAAAAATTTACATCTCTTTTTCCTTTTTTAAATCTCTAGGATACACCAAAAAAACCTGTACACAGGTGTTCATAGTTGCTTATTTGTAATACTGCAAATAACCAAAAAGAGTGTGTTGAACATTTAGACCATGGACTACTACTCAGTAATGAAAAGATGAATCTACTGACATATGCAATGACTTTGATATCTCAAGGGCATTAAGTAGAATGAAACAGCCAATCTCTGAAGGTTATATATTGTGTGGCTTCATTCATATAACATTCTCAAAGATAACATTAAAAAACTGGATGATAGATAATGTGGTTGCCAGGGATTAGGGAAGGAAGTGGGTGTTGACTATAAAAAGTAGCAGGAGGCCTTTCTGGTGATAAAAGAATTCTATGTTTTGCTTGCAGTGATGGCTACATGAATTTACATGTGATAACCTGACATAAAGCTATACTCACATTTTGTACCAATGTCAAATTTCCGATTTTTATATTGTATTAGAATTATGTGTAAGAACCACTGGGGGAACTAGATGATGGGTGCATGAGTTACTTATGGTATATCATGTGTTTTTTGGCTCTATCTTAAATTTTGTTCCATATTTGTTGCTTTTAAAAGTGGAAGTCCCATATGGACATATTAGGAGATGTGGGTACTGGAGCTCCAGAAGGAAGTCAAACCTAGAGGTTCAGACATTGAGAGGCAGTTTACAGTAATGCTTATGAAAATGAACTTTAGTGCCACAGTGCTTGGATACAAATCCTAGCTGTCTAGTTTGGCAAAGTATTTAACTGTTCGGTAGTTTTTTGATTTGTGAAATGTAGAAAAAGAGGAAGATGAGAATTCCCTTTACAGGGTTTTGGGAGGATTAATGAATCAATACTAAGCAGCTTGCTATTGCTGGTGGATTACTGTGCATTACTAGTTGTATGTGCACATTCACATCTGCTCCAGGAAACGTGAAATCTTCCACAGAGCTAAGACTGTTTCCCATTTTTCTCTTCCTCTTGTAGTTTGCACACAGAAGTATGGAAATAAGTATCTGCAATAACCCTCTAATTCCCGAAGGTTGTTTGTCTTAGTTTTCCAGCTGAATAATGTTAAGAGCGTTTTTCTTTAAGAATGGTGAGAGTCAAGCCACTTTCATTAATACAACAACAATAAAATACGATACACTTATTTGAGAGATTCAGTGTGTCAGCATTTCAAGCAATCAAATTTCCTCCATGGATTGTTATAAAAGCATTTCCTGTCACCCACCTATCGGATTCTCGTTTTTGTTAGCTTCCCTCTCCTAAGTGGGCTTATCTTATCCCTGCTGTCAGGAGGGCCATAAACTTCCCCTCGGGATGGGTACCAAGGTGATTTGAAATTAGCTAGCAACCTAGACTCAGTATCCAGGCTCCGCCCTCACCTCAGGGAGAGGGGAGTGGCGCTGGGCTCAGCACGCTCCTGGGCGGGGCTCCAGTGACGTATTTCCTGGCGCCGTCGCCCTGACGTGTGACGTAGTCTGTTGACGCAGCGCCGAGCAGCCTCAGTGTGGGCTCCTCCCCTCCTCCTCTTCTTGGCTGTCACAGGCCCCCTACCTGAAGCTGGAGCCGGGGCGGCGGCGGGAGCGACGGGTAGAGGGTGTGGGCGCCGGCAGAACTCGCGGGGCCGGGTTGGGCTCCGAGTCGCCACGGCCCAGGATTCGCGGGCCCCGGAGACAAACGAAGAGGTCCCGGCCGCCTGGCACTTGCCTGAGTGAGGAGATGGGTCCTGCCTGGCCGAGCCCAGGTGGGCGGTACCTTTTCCAAGAGCGTCTGGGCATCTGTCCTGTCCGCCTCTGACAGATTTGGCTTCCTAGGCTGCCTGCTGTGGTGACGACTCCTTCTGTTGTCCTTTGCTACCCTGAGCTGCATCACGCTGCATCACGCGGAGCTGCGGACCGGCGTCGCGGGTGAGTCAGGGGACCCGGAAGGGCTGCGGCCGCCAGTGGTTGGGGACCCGGTGATGGAGTGGGCCCTGCGGGGACGTTTCTGCAGCTAGGTGGGCAGGCGTCGCGCTAGGCATGGGGCAGGTGGGAAGTACCAGGCACTGGCTAGGTCGGCCAGCAGCCTGAGAGCACAGCCCCGGGGACCCCGCAGGCGCTTCACCCAGGGTCGCTTTACCTCAGGTGAGGAGGAAGCCTTGCAGCCTCCGGGTCTCCTAGCTTGCTAGGTGTGCTTGGGTTCTCATGGGTGCTTGTGCGCCTCACTCGGTGCAAACAGTGGCTTTTGGTCATAAGACCTTCAGACCTTGGCCTGACTCCCACACCGGACTTAGTAAAGTTGGCAATAGAGGGTGAAGGGCAAGAATTCTTGGAAAGCAGTCGTGGGTTTGTAAAGTCTAAGAGTAAAAGTTTTCAGCTGATTTAGTTTAACTAGAGAAAGTATAAATACAAACAAATTAACCAGAATATCTGTCTTGTGTTAACTATTGAGAGATGTGTGGATATATTATCTCACTTAATCATCAAAAATTCTATTATGTAAGTCTGTTATTATTCCCACTTTCCAAATGAGAGAATGAAAGCCCATACCTCTAAAGTAAGGGTAACTTGTCCAAAGTCAGAGCTGTGAGTCAGCCAGGTCATCTGATTCCTTTACAGACCCTTCACCTGTTGTATGCCATACTGTCATTCTAGCATCTCAAGAGCTTATAAGGCTATTTTCATTTGGTAAAGTGTGCAGGGTGCCGGAATAGAAAGGAAAGTAAGGCACCCTTCTTGCCAGCAAGGATGCATAAATTTGATAGAAAAGGTTTTCCCAGGCCACACTTTTGAGTATGTTTTAAAGGTAGAGTTTTTCCTCCAGAACCCATCAACAACATGTGGCAACCTCATGTGCTTTCTATAAGACAGTGATTTGAAACTTTTGGAAGAGCTTACTTTGGAAATTGTGGTCTTATTCTAGATTTAGGAATATTTTCCGTTTTGAGACTTAAAAGGAAATGTAATATTGGATCAACAATTAAAGTTTCTTTCATGGTGAAATCATTGAAGCCCAAACGGTTACACTGCTAATAAGGCCAAATACCTGGTATAAGTGGTTAAAATGTTCATTTCGGATTTGTTAAGCTGAAACACTACAGAACGGCCTTCTAAACAGAAGAGAAAGAAAAAAACCGAGTACTTCAGACTCACGGAAATAAAAACTTGGATAAATTTTTTTGGTAAGATTTTTTCAAAACATAATTTCTAGTTAAACCTCGGATAGACAAAAGCTGACTTTTTTTTTCATTTCTGGCTTAATCTGCCTATGTGGTCAGGGAATGTTGGTGTAGTAATGCATGGTGTATAATGTGACTTACAAATCATTTTACCTGACTTTTGGACTATTGATATTTGGTTGATGTGTCATACAATCGGCAGGAGAAATCCAGAGAAATCTGTGGCTTGATTATCAAGTATCAACATGTGTTTTGTTTTTGCTTGTTCTTTAATTTGCCATGTTTATAAAGGTTTTTTAAATAGAGAAATGAAACTGGGTGCTGTCTTTTAATCCTTACTACTTGGGAGGCTGAGATTCAGAGGATCATGGTTTGAGGCCAGCTGGACAAAAGTTCAGGAGCCCCCATCTCAAAGGAAAAAGGCTGGGTGTGGTGCACTTGCCTGGCATCCCAGTGAAGGAGGGAAGCATAAAATAGAAGGATCACAGTCCAGGCCAACCTGGGCAAAAAAGAGACCCTGTCCCCAAAATAGTCAGAGCAAAATGAGTGGAAGCTTTGCTGAAGCAGTAGAGCCTCTGTCTAGTAAGCACAAATCCCATACTGCCAAGAAAAAGAGAAAAAAATGAGTTCGTCTGCTTTTGATTTGTTATTATAGAATATTGTTCATGTATATGTGTGTGTTTATATGTGTATATGTGTGTGTATACATATATATATATATTTTTTTCTTTTGAAATAGAATTTTGCTCTGTATCTCAAACTGACCTGTGACTGTGATTCTCCTGTCCCAGCCTCTCATGTGCTGGGATTACATGTGATTACCACCACGTGTAGTTTTAAGTATATTTTTAAATTATGAGTTCTGTGGAGAATAGTATAAGATATGGTTAAACAATTAAGAAGCAGTTTAGCTCATTTGACAAGTACTATTTGGTGCCATTTAGTAGTCGTTATTTCAAGGTACTATTAATAGAGTAGTGTTCATTATGGCCTTGGAGATTAGTAGACTAGTGAATTTTCTAGAAAGCAACATTTTTGGGAACTCATATATTTTCTCGATTTTTATATGCAAAGATTTTTTGGTTTATGTAAAAGATTAGAAAATGAGCACCAGTCAGATGATAATTGTATTTATAATCTTTTATATTAGTTAATAAATCACGAATCTTTAATAGCTTCAAGTTGCAGTGGTAAACTAGGATTTTGATAAACTTTATGTAGGACTGGAGCTTGCAAACCTTTTCCTCCAGTTTCCCAGGTGCTGGGATTCCAAGGACATCAAAGATTACAGGTGTGTACCACCACACCTGGTTCCCGTGTTAGATATTTTTATTTCTTTTATCCAGTTGGAGAGAAATAAAATAGCTTGAATACAGTATTTATAAATTTTTTGTGGGCAGTTAATTTTGAAAAATAATGTTCTTCTTAAATTTTTAATTTACATAAAATTTGCATGTTGGTGGGATACCATATGATAATTCATTATGTGTTTATGTTGTGTAATGTTAAAATCAGGGTAAGCATATTTATCTCCTCAAACATTTATCATTTCTTTGTGGTGAAAATATTCAAAATCCTTTCTTTCAGCTTTTTTCAAATATAGAATTATGTTGTTATCTACAATCACCCTAGGGTACAATACAAAGCTAGATCTTAATTCACCTAACTGTAACCTAGGATCCATTGACCAACCAGAAAGATTTCTTAAAATGATAGTAGTAGCAGTGGTGGTAAATTAAGAAGGTTGATAAATATGTGGTTCATTCTGTGTTTGATTCAACCACTTAACATTTCATGCTCTTCTCTCATTGTATATTAATATAATAAACAGTTGCCACAATTTCTTTTCTAATGTTAGATAGAAGTTTTGAAATGAGTAATGTGGAATTAAGGAAGAATGAAGAAGATATAGATGAATCATGGAAATATAGAGAGCATGTTTCATAACATGTTGATCAGTTATGTTCTTAAATAATATATAAAATTCCATTTAAAATGATAAATTTGAATATTGTGGCTATGTTAAAAATTATCAGTATTATGGATACAAGAAAATAAAACAATTCTTACTGTTAATAAACCATGAGGAGAGAGGGCCCAGGTGGATTATATTTAGGTTATAGGCATGTTTTGGCAGGAATAGCACAGAAGTAAGACTGTATTCCTGTATTAAGAAGTGTACATTTTGATTTATTCTGTTACTGATTTTGTTTACTTTGATTACCCAATTAACTGTTTTAATCAAAGTCCCTCTTTTCCTCCTTTGTCTTAAATAAATATTTTGGGGGAGTTTTTCCGAGGTGATAAGACTATCCTGTTGCTCATCAGAATTTATTATTTATATTGGTATGGACTCACAGATTCCTGTTTTATTTAATGAATTTTAATGTGATACTCTCATTTTTTTTAAGTTGTCTTATATTTTGTGTTTGGAAGACTTTTGAAACTGGCCCTGTGTCCTTTTCACATGCCCAATCAGTTTTTGAGTACTTCTTTCCTGTTTGGAAAACAAGGCTGACCTTTACTTTCTGTGCCCGGATTTTTCTCAATAGAAAGTGGTTTTTTAGAAGCAAAGTTCTATATTCATTTTTGCTGGAGTGTTCCTGCTCTCTAGACCTGTTAGTGAACATATGCACACACACACACACAACACACAACACACATATATACATAGATAAATTTATAGCTCTTTTCTATAATTCTTTATATTGAAAACCATATCTCCAGTTCTTATCTATCACCCAGGGTTCATTCTAATTTCCCTCCTGTATATATCCTACAACGTGAGTAACTTGGTTCTCATTATCCTTAATATATTTATTTAATTGATTAACCCTCTTCCCCTACCCACTGCATGGGCCACCTCCAGGTATACTCTCCTTATCCTGCTTACACTTCTATTCTCATACACTCTTCAGATTTCTCTCCTGCATGGATGCCCTACTTACCCCTTTCAGGTGTGATATCTTCTTCCTGGTTCTGGCTGATATTCTGCACCAGGAAACCTTCCTGTACAGATGCTCTTCTTACTCTGCTCAGGCTCTCAGTCTTCTCAGGTTCCGAGAAGTTGAGCTGTATTGCTTCTTGTCACTCTGTGCCCTGCTATAGATGCCCTCCTTCCTCTCAGGCTTCAGCACACTGCTCCTAGCCTCTTTTTGCAAATACGCCCTCCTCATCTCACTCTAGCTTTGACACTTTTAGGTGCTGTATCTGCTCCATAAACCTTCACACAAGTGGATACTTCATTTACTCTTACCAGGTTCTGATATCCAGTTCTAGGTCAGTAAGACCCTTGTCCATCTCTTCCCATCCAGATGCCTGCCATACTTTACTTCACCTTAAAGCTTTTAGGTTGAACTGTTAGGAAAGGTAAGGAAAAGGAACCAACCAACTTATTTTTCCTGTTCCATCATTTGCTCAATGAAGATTATGCAGTAGATTCTTTGTTGTTGTTTTTGAGACAGTCTCACCGTGTAGCCCAGGCTGACCTTAAACTCTAAATCTTGCTTTATTCTTGTGAGTGCTGGGACTATAGATGGGCACCACCACACCTTGCTAAGATAGATATTTCTCATTAGATTTAAGAATAAATCAAGCTTGGTGCCAGTGACTCATTCCTATGATCCTGGCTACGTGGGAGGCTGAGATTGGGAGCATCCAGGTTTGAGGCCAGCCTGGGCAAACAGTTTGTGTGACCCCATCTTCAAAATAACCAGTGAAAAATGGACTGGAGGTATGGCTGAAGCAGTAGATGCCTGTTTTGGAAGCATGAAGCCCTGAGTTCAAATCCCAGTACCACAAAAAAAAAAAGAATGATGTTTCTTTTAGTAATTGAGCCTTAGTTTGTACTCATAGTTTGAATGAGGAGATGAGGACATTACAAATATGACCCACTGTCTTATGTTTTGGAAAGAAATGTGGGCATACTTTGTTGTGTTTTGTATTCTCATTGTTGAAGTAAACAAGTTGATATAATAAGCCTTATTTATTAATTAACTTTCCCCTCTTTTCATGATTCCTCTTGTAATTTTATGACTCGCTGATTCTAAATTTAACCTTTGGCCTCATTTAGACCCTTAGGTGCTATTCTGTAAAATCTTCAGTAATGGATCAAAGAAAGAATGACAGTATTGTCCCCAGTATCACTCAACTAGAAGATTTTCTTACAGAACACAATTCCAATGTTGTTTGGCTTCTTGTTGGTAAGTAGAATATATTTTCTTGTACTTTATCACATATTCCATACAGATTGATAGCTGCGAGATTTTAAGCTCTGAACTTGGGATGCTTATAATACCATTTATTTATTTTTAGGAAAGAAGATTTTAACGTATCTGTTACTTGAATATTTGCTCTGGAAACTGCTCTGGAATGCTCTTTACATTTTCTTAGTTACCTCCTTACCTGACGTAGGGAAGGTGGACAGAGGAAAAAGACATTGCAGTTAGGTTACTTTTCCTGTTTCAGATCATATTACACTCTTATCTCAACATACACCCAAACAGTCTTACTTGATTTATTATAGAAGTAATAAATTCTCATATTAAGTATATTTTATAATAAAATAGAATGCATATGTAATCATTTAATCTGTTTACTCCTTGTGCACCTGGCAGTGAGTTCTGCTATTTATAATGTTTTTATATAACAATCTAGAAGTTTTCTAGGGGTTTACAAATAGTTTAAAATAGTGTATAATTAAATGGTAGAGAAGGGAGAGGGAGGAAGGGAATGAGAGAATGAGTGAAAGAATGGAAATCAAGGAAGGAGAAGAAGAAATACAATAATAATATCTGGGAAGGGAGAGATTTCCACAGGCTGTTATGGCCCCCTAAGTTTTCATGAAGGAATGGTATTCAGTTTGAATTTTGGCACAAGGAATGTAATGTCCAGAGGAAAATAGGATGGATAAGAAAGGAAAAAAAAAAAAGAGGGTAATGATATTTGTTGAATATCTTCTCTGCACCAGATATTATAGATGGACATTTTGTATATGTTGTTCAATGTTCAGGGCAGCCTTCTGAAAGTAGAATTTATTTTTTTCTTTTTGCCATGTTGGGCAGTTGAGGCTCATAAACATTAAATCACTAATATGGATTCCACAACTGTTTTTTTTTTTTTCCTGAGTGCATGTGTATACTTCTTCCATAATACCATAGGATGTGGGAAGGGATATGGGTAGAGGTGAAGTGTATACAGAGGAATTGTAATGCTTTATGATTTGTAGGTAGGATTGGATTAACCATTTAACATTAAAGTTGTATATTTTTTATTTGGCAAAAGCAGACTATTATAAATGAACAAATACTAGTAAGAAATATAATTTCATAAAAGCAGCATGGGGAATTTCTAAGTTTAAATAAGGGCAGACTCCTTCCTTAGTTCATGTCTGTCCCCTTTCCTATCACCTAGAATTTCTTACATTTTCCTGTTCTATAACAAAAGCCAATAGTAATACACAGAAAAAAGATTTTTTTCCTAGAAAAAAACCTTTGTGGACAAATAATAGCACTTGCTTCAACAGAGCTATCAACAGTCTAAGAAATGTTGCATTTTATTATGAGTTAGTGACTACTTTGTATCTCTGTTTTATAATTTTAAATAAAGTTAAAAACCTAACATATTTCTGAAAAGTTGCACACGTTAAATTGTTTTACATTATTTTTTCTTATTTATGAACTAGTGATTCATATTTTTAAGGAGGGCAAAGAAAGGAAAACTTACTAAAACAATGGTTTCTTGTTTTTGGCCTTTTGTATATTCATGAATTAGAAGTTTTGGGGAAATATAGATTTTATAAGTGACTAAATTTTTTATGAAAAATTAGTCTAATTTAGTGTCATTTACTGTAGCGTATTCAATGACATTCTTCAAAAGTTGGTTATTGTGTGCTGAATCAGTTATTGCAAATATTTAGTATAAGGTGATCCACTCAATGTGAATTTAAACAAAAATTTTCACTTCCTCTTGCTTTTTTTTTAAAAACCAGGTTTTATTTGATTTAAAAAATAATTAACTTTTCTTCGATTAAAAAAGTCATAATATGTTTTCTTTCTTTCAAACAGCTGTAACCACTGTTTTTGGAAATAATGTGGGTATAAACTTGTGTTTGAGCTTTGGGGCCTAATAAAGGTAGACGATTTTTTGAATATTGAAAAATATGGGATTTCTCTTCCCAGAACATCATTATATATTTTTAGTAGCTAAAACAGTACACTCCAGTGAAACAGGAAAAAAAGAAAGCAGATACTTAAAACATTGTTTTAATTGATCTTACTGGAATCTGTTTTTCTGGCTAATGGTTGTTGCAAGAGGAAAGTTAGATAAGGTAGAATAAACCTCTGATTTTAAAATTCCAAGTATTAAGTTATAAGAGGGCATATTCCCTTATGGAAGTAAATCTTATCATTTCTGTTTTTTTTCTTATAACAGCTACCATTTTGTCTTGTGGTTGGATTATTTATCTCACATATTACAATTCTCGGAATGTTGGGCTTATTTTAACACTGGTTCTTAACAGATTATACAAGCATGGCTATATCCACATTGGTAAGTTTGAATAGCACTAATTTATTCTTCTATGTGATAGTAGGATGTATATTATAAATTTGTATTTCATCAATAGATAGTATATCTAGATCTATAGTAGCTTTGGAAATTTACCGTTCTTGACATATAAAGTAATGAAAGGGAACATTTTTCTCATGCAGCATTCTATAACTAGAGATGAGCTACCAATTGGTTATGTCTTTTACCCCATTATTATTTCTTAAAGTGTCCCTACACTAACTTTTTGAATTTTTTTTTGTTATAAAAGATGTTCCTTAAAAGTATTTGACAAATTTAAAATATGGTAATAGAAATTTCTTAACAGGTTATCATCTGAGGAAGATTTTTCTAGGATGAATATATTTTTTCTTTTTTAAAGTAACTCATCTTCAAAACATCAATATGTTGAGATCATCTTGCATATTTCATTTGTGGCCTGCTTCATTCATTTAATTTCCAACTACTTGTCAGTGGGAAGTTTGAATGTGTATTAGTAAGCCATGCGCTTTGGAAAGCCCTGACCCTGTGTGAAATGGGAGGAGGCATGAATGGATAGAACCACTCTAACCTTCCTATTTGAAAACATCTTGGTGGACATAAGTAAAACTTCCCTGAAGCATAAGTAGCAGTCCGTTAATATGGGTCAAGGAATGATTCTTGCAGTCATTCAAATTTAGTGGAAAAAAATGGTGAATTATTCACTCCTTTTTTTTAATGCTGTATACAACTAAGGGCATAATCTATATGAAGCAGTTATTTGAACTAATTTCTTCATATATTTGCTAAGTAGCATACTCCGTTGTGATGATACGTATGGTGGTTTTTATTATATTGGGAAATTAATAGAAAGTATATTACAAAGAGATTATTTACTTATTGAATAAATTCAATGCTAACATCATTTTCAGTTTTAAGTGCTCTACTGTTAAAGCAGTTCATTAATTGCTGTTCATTTTTTTTCCCTCTTAAAACAGGTTCCTTTTCTTTCTCTGTTCTTTCTGGAAAAGTCATGGTTCGTGAAATCTATTACATTACAGAAGACATGTCTATTAGGTAACAAAATAAAAAAAATGGAGTAAACAAACATGAATTATTGTAAAAAGGTTTTGAGAATGATATTTTATTTACTAGGATATTCTTCAAATAATTCACGAGTCAAAAAGCATAATTGGTTCATTGCTAGAAAATACTTTCATCAGTGAATTAATTTAGCTGAAGTATAGACTGACAAAAATTTCTCAAATAGTGGTATGTAGAAATGAATAATCTCATTTCATTTGTACATGAAAATTTGGACCATTAAGTCTCTTGACCATTTCTGTTGGAAAATTCCCCATAGACATCTGTTATACAAAGGAAGGGCCAGGGATGTTGATATTTCTCATACATTAATTAGTTCCTTACTTGAAATGAAGTTTATAGAAGTAGATAGTATCTATTAGTAAGGATAATTTTGCTCTTAGAAGGAAACCCACACCTGAACATGATAAGAAATGATAATGTGTTTGAATGTTTCCTCAACTGTTAGCTTGAAGCAAAAACTACTTTTCTGAAAACATGATTTAGAGAAAATTTTGAATTAGTTGAGAGAATTTGGCTAGATGTTCATATCTCACTTAGTGCTAGAATTTGGCAATGCTCATACCTCTTGTAACAATATACCAACTTCTATGGTTGTCTGAAATTCCAAATCAAAAGCAAAAAGTACAAGAGGGAATTTACAGAAATGAAAGAGTGTCTTTAAGTATTCCCTTTTGTGCTAACATCACCCTTTAAGATTGACTTACTTAAAAAATATTTGAAATGAAAAAATTTGTTAGTATTTCCTTTTCCTTTTAAATGTTATCTATTATTACATTTTAATTAAGTAGGACATGTTGTATATGATAAATATATACAATTTATGTCAATTAAAAAATAAATTTAAGTTTCTTCCCCAGTATGGAGCTATGCATTCTTTTTTTAAACTATAAGATTATGACTCATTATTTTTATAATCCTTAGCTCTGAAAAAGATGTGTATTTATATATGTTAGTGTATTTTTAATAATTTTCTGTTTTTCCTTGTTCATTCTCAATTGCCTGTGTTTTACAATAAGTGATGTGAAAGGATTCAAATTGTTACTTATGTTCTCATTTTTGTAATCTACTTTGCTTAGAATTCAAGATGGATTTATCATTTTTCGGTGGTGGAAGATGTATAACCCAAAGCAGAAGCAGCATGGTAATTATTCAATTTTTCATGTGTTCAAAATGTTTAATCATAGAATCAGCTTTCATTTCATATCTTTTAGTAGATGTTTATAAGAGCTTTATAACTTACAAAATTCCATTTTTATCTTTTCTTGGTTGAAAATCCTTTGGTAATTTTCTGAGTGCCTGATTAAGTTCATTTATCCACATTTCTAGCCTTTCTGTTAAATCTGTGGGCATAATAATATTCTGGCATTCTAACCTTTCTAAGTCTCCTGCATTCTTCAGCTTCTATGGCTTTATTTATACTTGCTATGTTTCCCAGGCTGCTCTTGAATTCCTGGGCTCAAGTGATTCTCCTACCTCAGCCTCCCAAGTAGCTCTGACTGTAGGCTCATGCAACCATGTCTGACCTGGGTTTGCTTTTATCATTTCATAGTTTTCTCTTCTCTCCTAGTCTTCTTTCGTGACTGTTTAAGTGTTCCTGGCTCTGCCACTAACCTTCCTACTCTTCATTGACTATACCACTTGCTTCATGAGTAGACTTTCTAGAATAGTACTTCTCAAATTTTTATCTCAGGAAACTTTACTTTCTTATAAGTTATTGAAGAATCCAAAGACCTTTTATTTTGGTGAGTTCTGCCTGTTCATATTTACTCCATTAGAAAATAAGCCTTACAATTAAAGAAAATTTTTCAGTTCATTAATTTTGATAACCATCATATATTTAAAAACCTGACTCAGAAAAATGTTTCCAAAACAAAAGAAAAATAATAAGAGTGGTATTGTTTTACATTTTACAGTTCTCTCTAATATTTGTGTTAATAGAGGAAAAATGCAGTCACCTGTGCTTCCATATTCAGCCTGTCAAAGTACCTACCATACATCCTGCAAACTTTGAAAAAACTCCACTCTCTGCTCATGGGAGAATGGTGGAAAAGTCAGAAATGTCCCACTGTAATAATACTATGGATATAATTTAAATTTTCAGCCCCAAAGTTCCTACATTATACTTTGAGAACTGCTGTTGTAGAGGATTATAGGTTGGTCTTGGAGTATATGATCAGAAGAGGATGGACCCTTCCATCCTCTTTAGCCTTGAGTATCATCTGTGCTTCTGGCACCACATGTTGAGATTCTGAAATGCTGGTTAGGATCTATATAACTTTGGAACTGTTTAGTTAAATGTTGGTGAGTTTTTAAAATTTTGTTTTCTTTTTTTGGTGGGCTCACCTGGTCATCTTACTATCAGTTATAACTTTATCACTGTAGAAAAATATGGTTAAAGTCCTAAAAGCTTCTAAAGTTATCACAGAGGAAACAGCCTAAATTACTTTAGGTTTTACTGATACCTCACTGTTGGTCCTTTTTTCCTTTTGCTATTATTCCCTTGCCCTTGTGTTGCTCTTTGAGCTCCCTTATTCAGGACTGTTTCTTGTTGAGACTATTATGAATAGGTTAGTATTTGGCAATTGTTGAGTGCATTTTCCCATCTAGAGTTGTTCTACCATTAGATAAGTTGGAACAGAGTTTTATTATGTGATAAAATATTCTGAAGGTGTTTGAAATAGCCTTTTGTGGTTTCCCAACCATGATGTAGAATGGTTATGCTAGTAATAGTTTGTGGATTTTAGGATATCAGTTGCTTATCCAGCATTTTAACTTCTTTTCCTTATAGTTGCTGTCGCATTCTCACTGGAAAAAATTGTTTACATAGTCAATGTGTTAGTATATTGAGAATCTTTCAAGGTTTGCCTTTTCATAAGTATATAAATAAATTATAAATTTTGAGTTACTGTTTTCTGTATTATCCGTGTTAAATTTTGTGGAGAAAATATTCTTGAGGTTTTTTGATTTGTTTTTAGTTTTGTATTTTATTTGGCTATAAGCTGTAAAGGTGATGTTTGAATAATGATATCTTATTTGTTTATACTGTATAGATGGCTAAAACTCATTCTTAGAGCCAAGTCCTTTTGAGTTCAGTCCCAGCTTTTCACACATTATTTAACTTTGAACAAGCTCAGTATTTCTGCTTCTGATTGAGTTTGTAAAGTCCACCCATTTTTTTTCGTAGAGATGGATTTACCTTTGCCACACAGTTTCCTTTACATGTTGTGCTTCTGTTAATCTTACAGTCTGTTTGTTAAACTGGATAAATAGGCTACAGTTTTTTTTTTTTTGACAAAATCTGGATAATACTAGTAGGTCCTATAATTATTACATGGATCATATAATATAATAGTGGACTATATTCACTAGCAAGTCTAGATATTACTTCTTGCTGATTAAGGGCAGGTACATATGCTTTGACAATTAACCAGGCAGTACTTACGAATTGTTAACATTTTTTGGTAGAAAATTTAGAAGCCTAACAGTGGCATATTCCTGGATAGGATAGATGCCCAGCCTTCCAAGAAGATGAACTAAGGACTATTTCTGCTAGAGTCAAGATTTTCATTAGGAAATTGTAGAATTGTTCGTCTAGAAGAAAACAGTGGTGATCAAGTATCTAGATTCCATGTGATAGAGCTTGGTTGGATTCATTTTAGCTAGTAGTACATTGAGATTTATTAATTGCCCAGTATAATCTTTTAAACAAAGGAAAGCAAACAGAAAATGTCTAATTGGTTTACTACAGAATTTGTTGTAAGGTATTCTCTAGATTATGAGATCATTTATTATAGGTGGTTGTGGCCAAAGGCCCGTTATATATCTGCCAAAAATCTTTTATTTTGTTTTAGGATAGTTGGTTTTAATCAATTATTTTGGAAAACAATGGAATGACTTGGCCTTTTAACATGTGAAGATATGTCATTGAATATGAATCTGAATAAGTGGTCACGTATCTTTCTTTCTTTTTTTTTTTTTCTTTAAAAATTTTTTTTATTATTCATTTATTCACATGTGCATACATTGTTTGGGTTATTTCTCCCCCCTACCCACCTCCCACACCTTTTCCCCCCCTCCCCTCCTCACTTCCAGGCAGAACCTGTTCTGCCTTTATCTCAAAAATTATTCTTACGCTGAGAAGGGGAGAGGTGATGATAAAGAATGTTGCTTTGCATTGTTTTATTGCTTAGAAATTTTAGCCTAATGCATTTTACTGCTTTTAACAATTGTTACAACACAATTACAAGATGCTATTTGTCAGTTTAAAAAAATCAAAAGTGCAGAATTGCTGCCAAGCTTTCATCATAGTTAACATCAATAAAAATGGCTTATTATGTACATGTGACCTACATAGTCTTCTCTATGAAAGCATTATTAAATAAATTTTAGTTTATTTATAATACCTAATGCAATGTAAATGCCCTATAAATTGTTGTGCTATATTATTTAGGGAATAAATACAAGAAAAATGTCTATACATGTTTAGTACAGGCATGATTTCTTTTTCAAATATTTCAACCTGTGATTGGTTAATCCCTGAATATGCAAACCATGGATGCTATACATAATTTATATGACTAGTAGGAATTTGATCTACAAAGAGAAGAAAACTAATTATTATATGCAACAATCCTATAAGTGTTTTCATTTTATAGATGAGAAAAAGTCTTAAGAGTGATTAAAATATTTGCCTTAGTATACAGTATCAGTAAATGGTATCTCAGGGATCCAATTCTCTACCCTTTCTACTGTTAAATTTACCTTCTCTGTCTAGTTCTGGAGTGTACAGCTCAGGTATCCTCAAATTATTTTTTTAAAGGATTCCTGTGTGTGTATTTGCATGGATGTGTGCATGTCTGTATGTGGGATATAGATGCCTTTAAAGAAGTACCTATGGTTAGGAGGGATATTTGTCTGTTTATGAGGTTGTATGGCCCTGGTGGGAATATGTTCCTGTTCAGCTGGGATGTTTGTTCTGTCTGTGTGTTGGGTACTTTTACCAGTTGCCCTTTGTGTGTATTTCTCTGTGAAGAAGGTTCTACTCTCAATGTGCTAGTAGTTGTATACATGCATTATGGGTCTGTGAAAGTATATGTATGTGGGTGCCTGGTATTGTGAATGTTTCTGAGTCTGTACATGAGTACTTATGTGTGCATATTCATTTCTCTTTGTGCATGTGTACTTCTGTGTGCTTTTTCCTGTCTCTATCTCTGCATGTGCATTTAGGCAAACTGTCTCTGCATCTGTGTATGTATATTGGTGTAGGGATGAGGAGATATAGAGGGTGCTACTGCATAGAATACTCCTGAGGATGGCATAAATCTGTAATATTAACAGAAAAGATCCTGGGCAGAGACCCTGAAGGAAGTACATGACATTTCATTAGATCATTAATCAGGCTTGGAGCTCTGATTTACTGTTTAATCATATAGCTCTGGTTAGAAATTATTAATGCAAGTGAAACAGAAACAAGAGAACAAATCTTAAAAGGTGTAATATAAAGTTAGGTAAGTGTTCTCTTAAAATGCAAGACCAAAAGTTGCTTCTTTAAATACTTAGAAACTTGCTACTTATTTAATACTTCAACAAAATGATTTTTTTTGGAAGGAAAAGAGAAATCAGTGCACCACTCAAAATAGTTCAGTACAGTCTACATTTTGTTTCATCTTACTTAAAGCTTACAAGGCCATTTATTATTTTTATTTAATTATTTAATAAATATTCATTTAGTATCTCTGAAGTACCATGTATGGTTTAGGCACCAGCAATACAAGAGTGAACTTAACAGGAAAACAAAACTAAACTTCTCTATTGGAGTTTACATTCTAGTAGGAGAGGAGGTAATGTAAAAAAAAATAAAAAACTCCTTGGGAAAGTAGAAGAAGGAATGTTGAAGGGATCTTGGCAGTGTTTAGTATTAGGTATTTAGTATTATTAAAGTACATTCAGAAATAAATACATTTATTTTACCTTGGTGTTTATAAGTTTATGAAGTTATATTTTTATTATATCTGTTATGTTGAAAGGAGAGAATTTTGTGCATATCTAGCAAGTTAGAGTTGAAAATAGGTGTGATTTCATTTCCATTTTATATAGTCTCCGTTTGTTTATACATCATTGCAGAGCCAGTTAGGTGCAAATCCCCCTTGCTACTTCTGCAGCTCACCCATTGTTCTTTATAGTATCTTCTAATGATCAGGGTGTATATATGGCAGGATCATTGGTATACTGTTTGTTAAGTAAATTTTAAAATAGATGTCTTCAATGAATTTTGAGGTAAATTTTGGTTGAATTGTTTATGACTTTGGAGACATGTATAGTTTTTTTTTTTTTTGTGGTACTGGGGCTTGAATTCAGGGCCTTCACCTTGAGCAACTTCACCAGCCCTATTTTTGTGAAGAGTTTTTCGAGATAGGGTCTTGCAGAACTATTTGCCTGGGCTGGCTTCGAACCATGATCCTCCTTATCTCTGCCACCTGAGTCGCTAGGGTTACAGGCATGAGCTACCAGTGCCCAGTTATAATTATTTTCTAGTCATATAGATTTATTTGAGAATATAAAAATAGTCTACTTGCATTTATTATGCCTACATATGTTACATTTTCAAACATTAAGATCTACTTGTTGATATTTTGTTTTACTTACAAGTATGACTCCTGGGAAAATGCTTTGTTATTCTTTCATTCAAGTGAGCTTGCCTGTATACTGAGCTTTGCTCTAGACATCAGGAATCCAATGGTGAATAAGTCTCCTTAGCTTGCTTCCTTCACATTGGGAGAATTTAGATAATAAGCATGTAGTGAAGAAGACACAGCATTGAGGAAAATAAAAGCTGTGTCAGTGGAGTAGGGAATGCTGGCTTTTAGGGAAGTTGCTCCTGGGAAATTAGAAAAGCCTTTATTGATAGAGTTGGTAAAAATGAAGCATGGAGTCAGTGGAAATGACCTATTGTGAGTATTTGGGAAGAACTTTTCATGGTTATTCTGTTCCCGTTAGGAGTCTGTTATAAAACAGGTGAATATTATCGTGAATTGAGTTGCGTGGTAAGAAGCCGTTCAGTTCTTGCTATAGGTTGAGATTCAAGCTGAATTGATTATAAATTGACAGGGTAAGTTTATAATCTTTGGGACACTAAAGAAAGAGCAATCAAGGCTCTTGGTCCTGAGCAATTGAAAAAATATATTTACTATTGGTAAGTTGAGGAATACTATAGAATAGGCTTTGATGGGAAAATCAGGTATTTGGTTATACACGTGAAGTTCCAGAAACCTGTTATACATAAAATTGGAGATGTTGAGTACGGTTGGGTATTCTACCTTGGCAGTCTGGGTAACGATCATGGATGATCACCAAGGAAAGGTTTAAATGTAGTGAGTGATAAAAGAGTTTGATTTACTTGTCTCAAATGAGTGATCATATTGATTACTTTCAGCAGCTGAAGTACTTTGTTAAATATTAAAAACAATGTGTATTTAGTGGACTTTTTAAGAATTTGACCTCAAGGAAGAGGAATGGAATGTTTGATCTCATAGTTCATGGATTGTTTTAGCTATTCTGAAGAAATAGATGGAAATATCAGGCAAAGAACTATTTAAGAAATACCTGGAAAATTACAGCTTATAATAATTTTTTTGAAGGATTGGCTTTATCATTTTTTTCTTAGTTGTCCTAGGAAGTAATGAAATAATCTAAGATTGGAGTACAAGTAACAGGATTACTATGTGTAGATAAATATTGATGATTCATTTTCCTTAGTTTATTTAAAAAATGCAAATGGAATTGTATTTCAAATTTATTAGTTTAAAATTTTTTTTTGTTTGGATAGTCAACATTTCATATATTTCTGCAAAAAAAAGTAATAATTTTGACAACATTTGGCATCTTACTGAAGGGTATATACTTGTTTAAATTGTAGCTTTGACTACTAGGATAAAAATAACAATTCTCACTCACTTTAAAAATTCATCTTTTCTTTCTGTTCATCTGATCTTAATCAGTTTTTAATTAAATTTGGTGGAAGTAAAAATAGATTAAGATTAAAAAAGAGCTGTTTTAGAAAACGTGGGATTTTCATTTCAGGTAAAAAGACACTCTGACTGACAAGGGATACATGACTTTAAATTATCTCCTTAGTAGAAACAAGTGTCCCATCCATTATTTTATAGATTTATTCATGAATTACTACAGATTCTGCATGCCTAATCCAAAAATCTAAAATCTGAAATGCTCGGAAACTAGACATTTTTGAGTGCTGATATGGCACAAATGGAAAAGTCCTCACTTGTCATCATACGATGGGTCTGTCAAACTGCAGGTACCACAGAAATATTCTATAAAATTATACACAGGCTATGTACATAAGGTGTATATGAAACCACAAGTGAATTTTGTGTTTGGTCTTGGATCCCAATATCAAGACATCTCATTATACATTGGAAATATTTCAAAATCTGAAAAAAAATCCAAAATTTGAAACACTTCTAGTCCAAAGCATTTCAGATAAGGCATATTTAACTTGTGTTGCTATTTATACTTTTTTTTTTTTTTTTTTTGCTGGGACTAGGGTTTGAACTGAGGGCTTCCCATACTGTACGCAAAGCAGGTGCTCTACTTTTGAGCTGCACTTCTAGTTCAGTTTGCTCTGGTTGTTTTGGAGATGGGGGTCTTATGAACTATTTGCGTGGGATGGCCTTGAATTGTGATTCTCCTGATCTCAGTCTCCCAAGTAGCTAGGATTACTGGCATTAGCTACCAGCATCTGGCTTCCTATTTATGCTTATTATAATTATGTCTTTCATTTAAGAAGATTATTATTTGATCTTTACAGTTCATAGACTGTGTTAGTATTATGTAAATTTTTAAAAAACAATGTTTATGAAAAATCTTATGCAGAATTTCAAATGTTGTTATACTTAAATACGTTTTAGTATATATATTTTAGTATAGTATAGTTGAATTACACTTGTCCTGTAAATGACACTTTCTCTTGTGTTTTTAGCATAAAAAATTTTTAACTTTTGTTATTGTTTAACCAGAATCTAGAAACTCAGGTTGTATTTAAAGTGCTACATTATGAAATGTAACAGTAACATCAGTTTTTTTCTTTTGTCAGTATTTTTATGTTAATATTCTTCTCTATGTCATAAACATGTATTTTAAAATAAATCATTTGTTACTTTGTGAAACAATATTTGACAAAAATCTTTGATAAAGTTCTTAAAAAGCTGACTGAAACTTTTTCTTTGTAATTGATATCTTTTAGATCCAAAGGCAGAAACAAGGTTATACATCACAGTTAATGACTTTGAATTTCATGTCTACAATCGCTCAAATCTTTATGGACGCCTTCAAGAGTTGTTTGGTTTGGAACCAACAATAATTCCACCCAAGAAAGATGATGATAAAACTCGGGAAAATGGAAGAACTCAGTCCAAAATTGAAAGGTTCAATGTCACACTTGACTTTTATCCAACATTTAGTATTTGCTTTTATTAGAATATCATTGAAGCTGTCACCTAATCAGAATCTAATCTTTGTTTTGTTTTTTTTTTGTGGTACTGGGATTTGAACTCAGGGCCTCACATTTACTAGACTAGACTTATTGCTTGAGCCACTCCAGCAGCCCAGTAATCTTTATTTGTAAATTAACTAAAACCTTTAGTTAAAAAATAATTATGTAACCTTTTAAAGAGTAAAGTAATACAGAATTATTTAATGTTTAAAAAAGTCTTTTTCTACTATACTTACTCTTTAGTTCTAGTTCCTTTCACATTAATAATTACTGTTAATTTGATTTTTATCCTTTTGAATGTATGTATATTGAATATGTAAAATGTTTATATATGAAAACATTTGATTTAGTTTGTGTCTGTCTAAAAATCGTATGTGGCCTAATATAGTGCATACTAGAGTTTAGACTCAGGGCCTCACACTTGCTAGGCAAGCACTCTACCACTTGAGCCATACCTCCAGTCCTGCAATTTACTTTTTGTGCTTCAGTATATCTTGAAGATTTTTGTGTTTTAACAAATATTCTATAGAAGGGCCAGCAACCTTAGATGTACAATGCATACTTAGCCCATTAACTGTTTTGTAAATCAAACTTTCTTGGAATGTAATCCCACCCCTTTGTTTATATTGTCTATGACTGCTTTTGTTGCAGAATTGATTCATTGACATAGAGAATGTATAAACCACAAACCCAAAAATATTTCCTATCTGGTCCTTTACAGAAAATATTTGATCAGCTCTAGAGTGTAATAAATGAGAAAGAAGTAAACATAGTTGGAAATACAGGGCTAGTAGGGAAAGTATTGGCCTCAGGGAGTTGAGAAAGGCTGTAAGGAATTAAGAGGTATAATTGGCTTTTCATATCTGTTGGTTCTGAATCCATGGATTCAACCAACTGCAGATCAAAAGCAGTCAAAAATATAAATTATGATACTGAAAATGTAGATTCTTTTTCTTGGTATTATTCTTTAAACAATACAATATTAAAAGTATTTACACAGCTTTACATTCTATTAGGTATTTTTGTAATGTAGAGATGAAAATTCTTTACTTATCGATTATCTGTAAAGGTGAGATGGAGGAGGAAGGATAAGCGAAGGAAATAATAGTACTTCTAAAGGGTAAGCTCTTCAAGTTGAGTTTTATATTTTGGAGTGAATTTGGAGTGACTAAGAGATATTCCAGTGAGAATATTCTGCTGAAAGATGTGAAACTTCAGGAAAGGAGGTCAGAATTTTAGATAAAGATCTGGGAGGTATTGTTTTACATAACTTCACAGCATTGTGATATTACAAGTTCTATAGGTTTTAATCTTGTAACTCAACTTTATAGCCTAAGCATTTTGACACATTTTCTGTTGTTGACTATATGTTTAATGGTTGAATAGGAGTCATTAAGAGATTTATGAGTTTAATCCTGCTATATTTCTTGATTAAAAATTATGTGGTATGGAGATAGGTAAGTCAAAGGGTAAAGGCTTGTGGTTATGTAGGATGATAAATTCTAAAGATGTACTATATAGCATGAGGATTGTAGTAATAATATCCTATGCTGAAAATGTGCCAAGAGAGTAGATTTTAGATCATCTTACCACCTCAAAAAAAAAACCAAAAAACAAAAAACAAAAAAAAACCCAAACAAACAAAAACAAAGCAACCTGATATAAAACAACAAAAAACTATGGAAGGTTATGGATATATTATGATCCTTAATTATATAGTAATCATTTCATTGGCTATGTCAAAATAATATTCTATACCTTAAGTATATACAATAAATGAACTAAGAGAATTTTACAAAAGAAAAATTTTAAAAAGGCTCTATTTGTCCTAAAAAAATTTGCAATATTACATATCTTTGTTCATATATATGGTTGACAGGGCAAGAGACAGAACAGGAACAGATAGATAAAAGAATGAATAGTACAAAAATCAAGGAAAAATTTTAAGAAGGAAGTGATGAAATGATATAGAATTTAGAGAAAACCAAATTGTAAGAGAGGGCAGATTTGATTATTAGATCATTATACAGTACTTTTGTAGATGAGGAAGAATGCTTGAATAAAATGACTTAGAAATGAGTCAGTCCTGAGGAAACAATGGGTGGTCATAGTTTAGATTCCTTCTCTCCTTTTCCCATGGTTTACAGAAAAGAGATGGAAATGTTTACTTCAGGGATTATTAATTAAGGAAGTGGTTTTTTCTACCTGTGTGTGTCATTGAGATAGTCCTGAGCATTATTGATTGATGGAGGAAGGATTTGAGTGAGGTAAGGAAAGCAAACCAACTGTTTTGGTGAGGGTATCTTGCAAAGGAAGGACACCTCTTCCTGAGATAAGGAAGAGGAGAATGCTGGCACAGAAACACATTGCAGTATGAACTTCTAAGGAAAGATTAGGTAGTATTAAAAGTAGGTATAAGAGTCTGTACATAGTATTTGGTATGAATATTAGGGAATAAGCCATATATAAATTAGAAAGTCACTATTAAGTGGAATGCCTCATTATGGACCTACCTCTTCTAGAAAATGAAAATTTCTTTAAAAACTTTTAGACACAGTAAAGGGAAAATATAAATGAAAGAAGAATCTATAGTTAAAAGGATAAGTTAAAATTAGAATGATACAGATTTAAAAAGTCATACAGTTTTACAAAAAACCTCAAATAAAATTTGGAATTTAAGAAACATCATCTGTGGCTAGCATTCAGATTACCTATACCATTTAAGAAGTCTTTGTTCTCTAACAGTTTATGTTAACTCTAACCTTGTCTCTCTCACCTCAGAAAAATGTTTGCTTTTAAAGAAAGTAATGAAGACATTTACTCTTCAAATAAATACTTAGTAGATACTTCTTATGTTCTGGGTATTGAGCTGAGGTATTGGGAATACTGGAAATATGACAGTTGTTCTGTACTGAGGGAATTTATAGCCTAGTAGAATAATATATAGGCAAGAAATGTTGCCATTGGGGCAAGAATAGAATTCTTTGGGCTTCATAGGAGAGGACTGGGACCTGAAGGGTAAATAAGTTAGGCAAAAGAGGAGGAAAAGAATATAGAACAGAGAAAGGATGACTACAATACACCTGCTGTGGCAGAAGTGGATTACTTGAGGTGTGCATAAATTTGAATCAAAAGGTTAGGATCCAGGACTCAGAAATTTGGCTTTACCTCTGTTGTGATTGGAGGGTGATAAAGCTGGAGGCAGAGAGATCAGATAGAAAGACACTCTCACAATTCAGGTCAAATGGGGCTGAGCTCTTCCTGGCAAATACTTGTAGTTCTAGAGGCTGAAGGCAGGAAGATCTCTAGAGTTCAAGGCTAACCTGGGCTACATAGCCTGACCTTGTCTCAAAAATGAAAACAATAGCACAAATAAAAACAAAAAGGAAAAACAATTCAGTGATGAGAACACCATCAACTATATTGGTAGCAGAGGGAAGAGAGAGAGGTGGATGGATTCCAGAAACATTTTTGAGGTTGAATCCATAAAACAGTGATTGGCTAGATGTGGACGGTGTGCAAGAAAGATGAGTAAAAAATGAACCCAGATGTATTTTGAATATTAACCCCTTATCCAATGTATGGTTTGCAGGTATTATCACTCATTTCTTAGGTTGTGTTTTAACTCTGGTAATTGTTTCCATGGTTATGCAATCCCATAGTTAGTTTCATGTAATCTCATTTGTCTGTTTTTGTTTTTGTTGCGTATGCTGTTAGTATCATGTCCAAAAATTCCTTGCTCAGAGAATGACATGGAGCATTCTCATTATGTTTTCTTCTAATTTCAGATAGTGCTTTTAAGCCTTTAGTCTGTTTTGAGTTCCAATTTGTATGGCGAGATGAGTCTTACTTAATTCTTTTATATGTGGATATCCACTTGTCCCTTCACCATTTATTGAATAGACTGTTCTTTTTTCATTGTGTGTTCATGGCACTGTTGTAAAAAATTAATTCTAAGTGTGTGAATTTATTTTGGTGCTCTCCATTCTATTTCATTTTGTGTACATGTCTGTTTTTTTTTTATATCTTCATTCTTTTTTTTATTTATATATTCACATGTGCATACAGTACTTGAGCCATTCCTCCCCCCTACCTCCTTCTCCCCCGAAACCCCCCTCGCTTCCAGGCAGTACCTGTTCTGCCATTATCTCTAATTTTGTTGAAGAGAAGACATAAGCGATAATAAGACAAAGCGTTTTTGCTAGTTGAGATAAGGATAGCTATACAGAGAAATTCTTAGCATTGCTTCGATGTACAAATGTGCTACAAACCAAGTTGATTCATCTCTACCTGACACTAGTTCCTGATCCCCTTCCCATATTGACCTCTGTCGCTTTACAGTTTCAGTATTAGCTCCGCTGCAGTGGGGACATCAAACACTTTCATGTTTTGAGTTTCCTACCTATCCCCATTCTTCCCAGATGTGCTCTCCCTTAGCATGTGTCCCAAGTCCTACAACATTGCTGTATTTGCCCTAGATCTAAACTGCATATGAGGGAGAACATACAATTTTTAGTCTTCTGAGCCTGGCTAACCTTGCTTACAATGATGTTCTCCAGTTCCATCCATTTAGTTACAAATGATAAGATTTCATTCTTCTTCATGGCTGAGTAAAATTCCATTGTGTACAAGTACCACATTTTCTTGATCCATTCATCAGTAGTGGGGCATATTGGTTGTTTCCATAACTTGGCTATTGTGAGTAGTGCTGCAATAAACATGGGTGTGCAGGTGCCTTTGGAGTAACCAGTGTTGCATTTCTTTGGGTATATTTCCAGGAGTGGGATTGCTGGATCACATGGCAGATCTATGTTTACATTTTTAAGAAACCTCCAAATTTTTTTCCAGAGTGGTTGCACCAGCTTGCATTCCCACCAGCAGTATACGAGGGTTCCCTTTTCCCTACATCCTCTCCAACACATGTTTTTAGTGGTGTTTTTGATAATGGCTATTCTAACAGGAGTGAGGTGGAATCTTAGTGTGGTTTTGATTTGCATTTCCTTTATGGCTAGAGATGGTAAGCATTTTTTCATGTGTTTTTTTTTGCCATTTGAATTTCTTCTTTTGAGAAAGTTCTGTTTAGTTCAGTTGCCCATTTCTTAATTTGTTCATTGATTTTGGAAGAGTTTAGTTTTTTAAGTTCCTTGTATATTCTGGTTATCAGTCCTTTTTCTGATGTATAGCTGGCAAATATTTTCTCCCACTCTGTGGATGGTCTTTTCAGTTTAGAGACCATTCTTTTGTTTACAGAATTTAATTTTATGAAGTCCCATTTGTCCATCCTTTCTCTTAGTTGCTGAGCTGCTAGGTTCTGTTGAGGTAAGTCCTTGCCGTTATACCTATTACTTCCAGATGTTTCCTCCTTCCTGTTACTAACTTCAAGTTTAGGTCTGATATTAAGTCCTTGGTCCATTTTGAGTTATACTAGCACAGGGTGATAGACATGAATCTAATTTCAGTTTCTTGCAGACTGATAACTACTTTTCCCAGCAACATTTGTTGAAGAGGCTGTCTTTTCTCCAGCATATATTTTTGGCACCTTTGAAAAAATGAGGTGCGGTATAGTTGTGTG